AAGATAATTGGAGCAAAAAAGCCGATACACATTAGCAAAATCCAATGCTACAGCAGACAGTAGGTAGAGTATAACCCTGCTGGATGAAAATAATAATGTAGCCACAATTCATAATAGCAAATGTGTAAAAGTGTGAACTGGGTGGACTTCAAGTAATACCAAATTGAGTCTACAAAATTAATTTTTCAAAATAATATTTTGTATATTGGATAGAATCTATTCAATCTATGCCATCTAGAGTTTGGCACAACAAAGCAAGAGAACACCAGCTGAAGATATAGCTGTACTTTACATTTTAGAAATCATCTTTCAAAAACTCAGGAAAAATATCATTAGAATCTTAGATGTTAGGGTAGATTTAAGCACATGAAAATACATGAAGAGTACATTTCTATGTTACACGATCTGTGTATTGCATTGTGTACACAATTGAAACCTATATGATCTTATTAATCAATGTCATGACAATAAATTTAATTAAAAATTAAAAAGAAGTATGTAAAAACTTAGCCAAATTATACCCAAAACACTAAAAACATGTAGATGTAGTTGTAGAAAAATAAATAAATGAATAAATAAAACTTTTTTTAACAAAGAAAAAGAGACCAATATTTTTTAAATGGGTATAATTGAAGAAATACCAGTTTCAAGATATATAATTGTCTCATATTTTAACAGAAATGTAATTTCCCAAAACTATGAAGTCTGATAAGCTAAGTATCAATAGCCATAAATATTCCCAAAAAGTATTATTAGTAAAAATCTGCATGGATTCATTCAGAAAAAGATCTATAAATTACTATAAATAGACTCTAGTAGTCCTATTCCCATCATTGTTATCATGTCTTAAATTATACAGTTCACATACTTAGAACAGCTCAAAAGTGTTGTTAGTTCAATGGATGATATTAAAAAATATTCTAAGAAGATAGAAAAACGACCTAAATAAAAGTTTAGACCTTTAATCATGATCAATGTAAAAGTCTGTATATAGATTTTTAAAAATCAGTAAATATATTCCAGAAAATAGAGACCTGACATAACTAACAACTCTTCTTGAAAAAAATCTTTGTATATGAAATAACCACATGCAAATTCAACATTCAACATGTGTAAAAATGTAATGTGAATGACCACAAACAAAGATAATTCAAGCATTTTAGAATATGTCAGTGGAAGTAGTCATGGCTAATAATGATTTCAGAACTTAAAGCGCATGAAATAAATGTGTAGTTCTGGGGATAAAATAAATAACAAAATTATTTAAGACACTATCCCTTTTTAAGCAGCTGATAGTCCAAGTGAAAAAACAAACACAGAAATATGTATTTGAAGTATTATTTTCAATTCTTGTCATTTTATTTTCAAAGATGCCATCATTATTTAGTATTAAAAATAATGTAATAAGCTAGGCCCTGTCTCTGAGAAAGGGAAATTAATACCCCCATTTTATAAATGGAACTACTGGATTAAGATTAAAAAAACCTCACCGACATACAAATAGCTAGTAATTGTTAAAACTGATAAAGGAATACAGAAGTTTCTGCCTTGGAACTACTGCTCTTAAAATAACAGTGCCTGAGGTCTGTCCAGAAGGTATCCAGCCATGTAATGTGAAAAATAGAGACATTTATTGACAATATAAAAAACATTGTACCTAGAACAATGATGTCTCAGTCCCTTTCAAAGTAGGCACCTTGGGACCTCAGTTCTTCCAACTGCCATCAGCTACCCTGTCATATTTTCCTGAATCTCATTGATGATCTGAAATATCTTCCTTTTCAAAGGTGACTTTAGTTTTAGGAAAAGCCAGCAGTCTCAGGGTACCAAGTATGGGCTATAGTGGGGCTGAGTCACCTGGGTGATTTGTTGTTTTACCAAACAAACGGGCACCAGATGTGATGCATGAGCATGTGCGTTGTTGTAATGAAACTGCCAATCACCAATTGCCCATAGTTGCAACTTTCTGAATCATCAAAATAGTTTCCTCAGAACTTTCAAATTTAATGCAAAATTTGATGCAGATTAATTGCTCTATTCACTCAGTCATTTTTAAAGTGATGGCCACACAGTACACATGCTCACACAACAATATCTACCACCCCCATTGACTAGTACAGTGAAGTCGTCATTGTTCACACATGTGGGTTCCAGTCCACTCTCCTTGGCTGCCAGGTTACATGATGTTGTGCGACCATTCTTGTTATATTAACAATGGCTGGACTTTTTTAGGATAGATCTCTTATACAGATCAGTTTATTAAATTATGCCCTGCTGAACCAGAGGTTTATAGGATATTAAGTATTACACATCCAGAGGAAAAAAATCCTTATCAAATAATTTTGAGCAAGACTAGGTAAGTCTCTTTATTACAAAGCCTTTCCAAGACTTTAACATTCTAATATCCTCCTAGAGGATGGTCTAATTGGTAGACTTTTCAAATACGATTGACCCCAGACTTTTTTTTTTTTTTCAACGAGTATTATAAAGCAGGTAGTGTTCCATGGAACACCCATTGGGAAACTCTGGCACTCCAGAAGACCAAGAAAAACCTAAATGTCAGGAACTAGAAACATTCAACAAGGAGACCAAAGGGGCCTTAGATGGGTTGTGGTAGCTCTCTTTAAGCAGTTGTCTTATCAAAAGGACATTGTATTTTACCAAAGAGCACATCTACACCTCATGAATGGAAGCTACCAGAAATGGATTTTATCTCAAAATAACATTTCAATACAGGTTTTTAAAAATATAAGAACTGTCCAACAAAGGTGGCAAATCATCTGTCCAATGTGTTACCTGAGCAATTGCATCATTGCGTGAAGGATCTGAGAACACCACTAAGCTCCCTGCTTTATTCTATTTGATGGTTCATTTGCAGTGATTATCAACTGAGATTTTCATACATTTAGTATTTCATATTCTCTGTTCATTTTTGTACCATTTTGACTTAAAAAATATTTTAGAAACAGAAGACATATTAACTGTCAAACCTATTGCAAATATGATGTCTTACATCGAAAGATACATAATGTTCAGTCTAGATTTTCCAGTTCTTTGTGACTCAGTCTGTAAAGGTTATAGATTTACAAGAACTTGTCTGTTTCTTCCAGGTTATTGAATTTGGTGGCATGTAGTCTTTCACAGTATTCTTATACGATCCTTTGTATTTCTGTGGTGTCTGTTGCAAGTTTTCCACTTTCATTTCTGATTTTGCTCATGTGGGTCTTTTCCCTTTTTTTCTTAGTGAGTCTAGCTAGAGGTTTGTCAGTCTTACTAATCTCTTTATTAAGCTCTTGATTGCATTAATTTTTTATATTGTCTTTTTTTTCTCTATTTTATTTAATTCTGCTTTGATTTTATTATTTCCTTCCTTCTGCTGATGTTGGGCTGCATTTGTCCTTCTTTTTCTAGTTTTTTAAAGATGTAATGTTACATTTTTTTATTTGGAATTTTTATTGTTTCTTGAAATAGTCCTATAATAATAAAACTTCCCTCTTATTACTGCTTTTGCCACATCCCAATTTTTTTTTAATTTTTAAATATGATACTGATTTGAAGGAAAAAGAAAAAATGTGAGAAGGAAATCTTGATAGGTAGGATTGGTTGCCTCCCATATGCACCACAATCAGAGATCGAACCGGCAACCTAGGTATGTGCACTAACCAAGAATCAAACCCTCAACATTTTGGTGTGTGGTACCACATTCCAATCAACAAGCCACACTGTACAGGGTTGCATCCTAAAGGTTTTGATATGTCATATTGTCATTCTCATTTGTTTCTAGGTATCTTCTGATCTCTTTTTTATTTCTCCTTTGACCCAAAGCAATAAACAAAATAAGACAAAGAAACAAACAAAAACTCATAGACAGAGAGAACAATACGGTAGTTCCTAGAGAAACAGGGGACTGGGAGAAAGTTAGTAAAGGGTGAATGGGGTCACATATATGGTGACAGAAGGAGATTTGACTTTGGGTGGTGAACACACAATGCAATGTACAAATAATGTATTTTAGAATTGTACACTTGAAACCTATATAATTTTATTAACTAATGTCACCCTGATAAATTTAATTTAAAAACAACCTAGGTGCCCATCAGTAAATGAATGGATCAAAAAACTATGGTACATTTACACAATGGAATTCTATGCAGCAGAAAGAAAGAAGGAGCTCCTACCCTTTGCAACAGCAATGCATGGAACTGGAAAGCATTATGCTAAATGAAATAAGCCAGGTGGTTAAAGACAAATGCCATATGATCTCACCTTTAATAGGGACCTAAACAACAAAACAAACAACCAAGCAACATATAACCAAAGACACTGAAATAGAGAACAGGCTGACAGTGGCCAGAGGGGAGAGGGGAGGGAATTTCAGGGGAAAAGGGGAAGGGTTTGCAGGAACAAGAATGAAGGACAGACACATGGACAATAACAAGGAGGGGGGGTGTGGAGGTGGGAGGGAGGTGGGGAGGGCTGGGGGTGTGGTCTGGGATGGGGGTAAAAGGCAGAAAACTGTACTTGAATAACAATTAAAATTAAAAAATTAAATTTGATTTAATTATTAGAAAAGGAATAAATCCTATATTCAGTCTCAAAAAAAGTACACCTAAGAACACATACAATTTACATTTAATGCCAGTGAAAACCAAGCTTCTCTTCCCTAACTTACAAAACACCAAGTGATTTAAATCATTTTAATTATGAAGTTCATGTGTACAGAATAAAATGTAAGTTTTCTCATTTACAAAATTACAGAAGAGGTCTAGAAAACCCATATGTGGAAACATGCAACCATGTAGCACATAGATACCAGTGTCAGAATTAGGGAAAAGCTGTGGGATATAGAAGACACTTTCCAGATCAACTACTTTTAATGTGTCTATACCTGGCTTTCAATGCCCCTGCACCCAAAGATTTGATAGACCAGGTGGGTTACCAATGAATTTCACTATAGTTAACATTTGCTTGCTAAAATAAATTAAATATAAAGTCCATACCTGTTTGTATATTCCTTGATAATCTGATATATGCTAATCTTTATTGTTTCATTTTCAAACCGATTGTTGCTCCGGTCCTTGTATATCCGGAATTCAGCTGCTGTAACTGCTTCTCCATGAGGAATTTGAGTAAGATCAAATCGGAATTCTTTGTAATGCCTTCGCTGGTGAGAAAAATCCTTGTCTCTTTCAACTGAAAAATAAAAGAAAAAAGAGAGAGAAAGTGAGCCCATTATAAAATATGAAAATTAATGGTAAATTCTCCAGCTTTGTAATTAAAACAAACAAGCAGGATATTCTAAAACTGGAAAAACACTGAAACCACAGACTTATATGTGTTTCCAGTTGAAGGAAACTTTACAGACCAACAGCCATTACTTCAAAAGCAACATAACCTCTGTGGTTTTATACAAATTCCTGGATCCTAAATGGAAAGGCTATCCAGAAACGTTTCTTAAAAGTGAAGGTTGTAAAGTGATTACTAGTGTGTATCAAGTACCAGAACACAGAGGGTTCATACAAGAATTAGGACTATTACAGAAAATTCCAGAATTCCAGGTGAAGGTGGCGGTGAGATTTAGCATAGCCAAGGGAGAAAATAGGAAGAAAGACTGAGAAATTACAGGCACACAAGGACAGTGTTTATGACATTTTAGAGGTCAAATACATAAAACAAATTCATTTTCAGAATAAAGATTATTGCTAAAATGTCTTCCCCAGAGGAGTTTGTCTTCTCCTTTCAGCACATTTTTTAACATGCACTTTCATTAGTTTAGTCTCCTAAAGACCTCACTCTGCTCTCACTCAGAATTGAAGGGGAATATATTTCTCCCCTTCAGCAACTTCCCCATCAAATAAAGTCAGAGAATATCTCCTCTTGAGAATATTTTTTAAAATATATTTTATTGATTATGCTATTACAATTGTCCCATTTCCCTCCCCCTTTATTCCCCACCACCCTGTGCACTCCCTCCCACTCGAGTTCCCCACCCCCCTTTCGTTCATGTCCATAGGTCATGTATATAAGCTCTTTGGCTTCTACATTTCCTATATTACTCTTAACCACCCCTTGTCTATCTTCTACCTACCATTTATGCTACTTACTCCCTGTATCTTTACCCTCATTCTCTCCCCACCCACTCCCCCACTGATAACCCTCCATGTGATCTCCATTTCTGTGATTCTGTTCCTGTTCTAGTTGTTTGCTTTTGTTTTTGTTTTAGGTTCAGTTGTTAATAACTGTGAGTTTGTTGTCGTTTTACTGTTCATATTTTTTATCTTCTTCTTTCTTAGATAAATCCCTTTAACATGTCATATGATAAGAGCTTGGTGATGATAAACTCCTTTAACTTGACCTTATCTGGGAAGCACTTTATCTGACCTTCCATTTTAAATGATAGCTTTGGTGGTTAATCTTGGATGTATTTGAATATTTCCAGCCCCTTCTTGCCTGCAAAGTTTCTTTTGAGAAATCAGCTAACAGTCTTATGGGTACTCCTTTGTAGGTAACTGTCTCCTTTTCTCTTGCTGCTTTTAAGATTCTCTCCTTATCTTTAATCTTAGCTTATGTAATTATGATGTGCCCTAGTGTGTTCCTCCTTGGGTCCAACTTCTTTAGGACTCTCTGAGCTTCCTGGACTTCCTGGAAGTCTATTCCTTTCACCAGATTGATTAAGTTCTCCTTCATTATTTGTTCAAATAAATTTTCAAATTCTTGCTCTTCCTCTTCTCCTTCTGGTACTCCTGTGATTCAGATGTTGGAATGTTTAAAGATGTCCTGCGGGTTCCTGAGCCTCTCCTCATTTTCTTGAATTCTTGTGTCTTCATTCTGTTCTGGTTGAATGTTTCTTTCTTCCTTCTGGTACACACCATTGATTTGAGTCCTGGTTTCCTTCCCACTGTTGATTCCCTGTACATTTTCCTTTATTTCCTTCATTTAGCATAGCCCTCATTTCTTCATCTAATTTGTGACCATATTCAACCAATTCTGTGAGCACCCTGAGTACCAGTGTTTTGAACTGTGCATCTGATAGGTTGACTACCTCTTCATTGCTTAGTTATATTTTTTCTGGAGCTTTGATCTGATCTTTTATTTAGGCCTTTTTTGGTCTCAGCAGCCTGTTATGTAGTAAGGAGTGGAGCCTTAGGTGTTCACTAGGGTGGGGCAACCCAGGTCACTGGGTTGTGATGCTGTATGTGGGGGAGGGGTGAGAGAGTCAGAGAGGGAACAATGGGTTTGCTCTGCTCTCTGCCAGATTTCAGTCACTTATCTCACTACCCACAAGCAAATTGGGCCCTTCTGATTCCCAGTGGGTGGGCTTGTGTACATTCTAGGACACTGGGTCTCTCCAACAGACTCTCCTGTGATGCTGGGAGTTTCTCCTGCTGCCACCTCAACCCCCAAATGAGAAGTATTTTCAATCAGAGATGTGAGGCTTTTTTTTCCCCTTGCTGGACCCCTGGGTTGTGTGGTCTGTCTTGCTCCCCAGTTGTTCCTCCTGGTTTATCAGCGAGAGGATGTGGGACCACCCAGTCTGCCAGCCACCACCTTGCTATGAGTCCTCTCTGCCCAGCTGCCCGTCTCTGCCACTCCTACAGGTCTGGATGAATGTTTCTTCTTTAACTCCTTGGCTCTCTGACTTCCATACAGTTCAATTTTCTGTCAGATCTGGTTGTTTTTTTTTGTTTTTAAATTTGTTGTCGTCCTTCTTTTGGTTCTGTGAGCAGGCACAGTGTGTCTTTCTACACCTCCATCTTGGCTCCAAGTTTCTCTTAGGAATATTAAGGGCTATTGAAGAATTCAGCAGAGTAGATGCCCAGCATATGCTTAATCTGGCTTTTTAAAATAGTTTATTATTTGATACAGTCTTTATCTACTGGGTACCAAAACTTTCTTTAAAAATACCTATTCAAAAGGTTCATTTTCAGTAATGCAATATCATTTGATGGAGTTCAGTTTCTCAGCATTAGTAAGTTTTTCAAAATCTCAGTGGTGTAGTTAATATAGAACAGGATTATAAAAAACTCCACTGCAAAACACAATATGCAAGGTGTCTCATAATTACAGCCTACAATAATTTTTTAAATTTTTCCAGTGACATGTTTCATTGCTAAAATTGGGTTCCAAGAAAATAAGAAAATATATGTTATATAAATAAATTTACCAAGTTCAAAAGTTGGATTAAGATAGAAAAATATCTTTAAGAGATTAATTGAAGTTATGTCAATACCACTATGAATATATGAAACTTGGGATCCTAACTAGAGAAAAGGTTAAGATTAAGAAAGGGAGAAACAGGTCATCATCCTCCAGGAAAGACAGTAGGAGTGGTGGCTGCTGGAGCTCTGGGTCACGTAGGTTCTACATTTGAGAGGAAGCTCATAAAAAAGGCCCCCAGAATTCTTAGCCTTCATGATCTAAAATAATCTCTGGTTTACTTTCCCCAAAAGAATAGGCAGTGGTTTAGGAGAGCGAGGATCTCATCCCCACCTTCACCACAGGTACCTAAGCCTGGTACTAGAAAGGGAAAACTAGAAGGGAAAACTAGAAGCTACATCTTGAAGTACTTTTGTCCTATAAAGCTTGGCGAGGATGCTGCAAACAGGCTGTGTGGCTCACTTTAACACAACCTCACATGATCCATGAAGTTTCATTTTCTTAAAATATCATTTTCTTAGTCCTAAGAGAGGTCCATTCCCAGGAAGATTATTTATCAACTTTTCTTTAAATAAGGAAGATACCCTTATTTTTAGAATCCTATTTTGGTCCATAATTCAAACCTCTTTTCTGTGTAAGCTTCTGCTGGTAATAATGTAGACTGCCATGAACTTGGCCCCTTCATCTCCATTTGTCTGTTCTGACTGAGCCATTTCAGAGGGAAAAGATAAGGATAGAAAATACCTAGAAACTGGGTATCTAGTAACTGAAAGTACATGTATGAATATAAAGCTATAAAGCTAGCCACAACTTTTGTTTAAAGAGAACTAAATTTAATTCAATCTAAACTCATTCTTTTCTCATCTTAATTTAAGTAAAGTAGATGACATTATGAAATAGTAATGTTTTATATGAAACAACTTTAAATAGCACTAATTTAGATGTCAGGCACTGTTCTAAGTACTTTTAAAGAGTAACAAATTACACTTCATAACAACCTGTGAGGTAGGTTCCATCATTATCCTCATTTTGAAGACGATGAAACTGAGGAGGGATAGAAAATAAGTACCTTGCCAAAAAGTGTGAACCCAAGCATTTGGTGCCACAAGGCTATGGTTTTTAAATGTCAAATATACTACCTCTGCTTATGTACTATTTATTGCTTTGTCCTAATTTATGAAGTAATTATGCTTTAATAAAGATCTAAAACCTCACATTCACAAGTTCAAAATCCAAAAAGCTCTGAAAATGAGAAGTCTGGCTTCAAGTTCATTTGGCAGAAAAGTTGGACATTAACTGATTTAAGGTCATTTGAAGTTTCTATTTATTCCACTTTAATATGAATAGTTATTGCTTTACTGCAGAAATGTTCATTTGTTTAACAAGATGGCATTGTCCCAGCTCTGCTTGAGGAGTTTCATACTTTATGATATATACATCAACCAGCCATTCAGAAATATATTTCTTCTATTTTGAAAGTAAACATTCAAAATTCTAAGTGGTAACATTTTTCATTAACAATCTATTTTATATTTGAAATTTAGACCAAAAAACTATAGTCCTGGAATTAAGGGCTGAGTCATGAGTTTGTTAGGATCCAATCTAAAGCATGCACCTGGAAAATGCAGATGAGTTTTGAATATATATTATGTAAAGTCATCTACTGTTCTGGAATCCCCTGTGAGGTGTTAGTGTAGTAGAGTGGAAAGCTAGAATTTCAACTGTTATTATAAAATTTCAGCTTTATAATCCAGGCTATTTAACCTAACCCCTTAAGGGGGCAAATTTTCAAAGAGTTTAATAAAAATTTATATTAAGTATACCACACAGAATAAAGTTTCAGTGCAGATTTGCCCAGTGATTCAAAATCCTATATCCTACTGCTTTGAATTATAATTTCACTAGTAAATTTCATGGGACATGTTGGAGTGAGTAATGGAATAAAACTTGTATTTATATAGCCAAGCACTCCTAATGATGCTCACAAATATTCACAAGGTAATCTCAGTTGCCTCAGTGAGTAATGCTAGGGAAGA